AACCCCAGCGTGGAGGCAGCCGGTAACGATGGCACATTCGACCAGGTGCCCAGGACCAGGCTGGAACCTCTGTGCACATCCCAGCTTGTCTTCGCCTGGCCCTGGAGGTGGGATTGGAGCTGTTCCGTGTGCGGAGTGAATGCAGCACAGCCACGGCTGTGGCGTGGGCAAGCCCTGTTCTCCGCCTGGGTGCAGTTAAGTGGGGATCACAGCAGAGGATGCATGACACAGGCCACGCCCCAGAAACACGCCAGCCTTGTCTCCTGGTGGCTGCCCAAGCTGGTCGAGAATGCCTCATCCTCCGTGCGCACTGCGGAGCAGCTGCAGATGGCGGGTTCACGGTTCCGGCTGGAGGCGCGGAGCTCCGCGGGGCAGCCTTCGGGAGAGGCAGCACTGGCGACTCGGAGGAGAAGTGGCCACTCCGTAAACGCTCGGGAAGTCAGGCTCCAAGATGGACAGGCAGGTCCATCTCAAGGCCCACAGATCACTGTCACCTAGTCCATAACGTTCCGCTGTTCTACGTGTCCTAGTGCTGTTCTACCGGTCCTAGTGCCCACACTTCCATGTGGTTTTGATGCCCGTGGCCCTTAGATTTCTAAACATGAGCACCTTCCTGCCCCCTTCTCCCCACTGACGCTGTGTGCTGTGGGCAGTCTCCGTGATGGAGCCCTCAGTCCCCGGCCAGTGCCCTTGACACGCGCCTGGCCTCCCTGCTCCCTGGACTACCTGCTGCAGGGACGGGACCTGCCCAACCTGCAGGCCCAACCAGGGCCTTCCCTTCCCACGTCCGGATCCCAACATCATGGGATACCAAACTGCCCCTCCGGACCATTCCATGGGTGCCGGGGCTGGCGGGCCTGTCTGGGCGTGAGGGACAAGTTAGTTCACTTCATCTCCGTCACGTCAGGTTTGAAACGCAGTAAGTGAGCAATGAGAGCACCACACCCTCTCTCCACCAGCACAGAGGGATCCTGTGGAAACAGTTCAGGACCAGCAGCCTCACTCAGCTGTCCTGGGACTTCAGGGAGCACAGGGTGGGCGGGTGGCCAGGAGCTGGGCCGTCTGGGGGACAAGCTTCCACTGTCGACCCCTGGGCAGTGGGCTCTGTACACAGTGACCACCGTTGGTGCCCACCCTCCTCCCGTGGCCTGTCCTGAGCACCCAGGAACCGAGCACCCTGGACCTGGCTCCTCCTGCCCTTCAGGCCTCATGCACCGGCATCCTCCCTGCTGCTGCTGTTCCTGGACCTGATGCAAACGAGAGAGCATGGAGTCTACTCCCCTTCCCGGGCACCCCTAGGTCCCTGTCCCATGACCAGGAAGGTGGGCTTGCTTGCCACGTGGGAGGAGGAGCTGCGCCCGAGCACGCCCACCACTGGGCAGGGCCGAGATCTGGAGGCAGGTGTGTCTCTGGTGGGCTTCCTGCCACTGCAGTTGGCAACTGGTGTTCTTCTCGGTCACAGCTGCTCCTGCCGGACTCGATTCATCCCAGTGGCTGGCCTGGGGGGTGGGGCTTCGTGTCCCGAAGGGACAGGGTTCTGGCCGTGAGGGAACCTCTGATGGAGGCAAGATGACATGGCCTCACAGGGACCCTCACAGCCTCAGGGGCATCTCGGGGTGACCAACCAGAGCAGCTTGGGAAGCAAGAGTGAGCCTCCGGGATCCAGGGATTTACCACGATTTATCTTCTCACTTAAAAACACTGACTTTAGCAGGTGATTTTGAGCTCGTGATGCCCCTGCCCTGCTCACACCCAGGGCCCCAGCGTACCCCCATCAGGCCTCTGTGCCGTGTGTCCCCACGTGCCAGGCTCTCTCCACCTCGAGGCTTGCGGACATGCTGGAGTCACTTCTCAGGACTCTGAGCACTCACGACAGGCACTGGGGCATCCCTCAGACCGTGTCATGTGCCAGAAGACTGAGCTCTGTCCTTTCAGACACAGCCAAACAAGTGACAATCGAGAAGCTTCAGGCAGCCTGTCTGACAGGTATATGTGTTCCTGGCACCCTCTGGCCACACGGAGTGTCCCACTGTCCCTCAGTGGCCACAGTCCTGGGCGGGGGGCTGGGGCCAGTGCATGGGAACCCCCAGAGGCTGTGCACACACTGTCTGCAGTTTATATCCAGGAGGAAACTTGTCCCCATCAAACCCCAACCCCCAGAGAGGGCTGAGGGACCCAAACTGTCCTCCGGGCCCCGTCACTGGCCACCAGTTGAAGGTGCCAGCCCCCAGGCCCCAGGTCCTCTGCGCCCAGCCTGACAGTTGCTCTGCAGTCTGACCACGTGACCCCAACCCGTGTGTGGGACGCGCTGCCAAGGGGGGGGCGTTACCAGCTGCCACGGCCAGGTCTAGCTGCGAGTCAGCGGCAGACACTGTCAGCGCTGAGGCGGGTTGTGGGAGGCCGGTGGCCGAGGTGTGTCCCACCCCAGCACCCAGACTCTCTGCTCTCCAGCCCTCGGATTGCGTGTGTGGTTCTGGGCCAGCGAGGGACCCTTGCAAGGGTGTGAGACGGGAACTGGCACAGCCAGAGGAAGTACCTTTACTGAAACCCAGTGTTGAAGGAAATCCCAAAATGAGACTTGATTTTACATGTTTGCATGTGAACACGAACTCACAGCGAGGGTCAGAGGGGCCTGTTTCTGTTGGTGCATGCACTTCACAAATGTGCCCGGCACACGCCCCTCTCTGCTGTGCCCTCCAGACTCCGACACTCGGGGCAGCACGAAGCTCACAGAGCAAAGCCCAGAGGGGACGATGTTGGCACCCTCACAACTGGGGCTGGAGAGAGAAAACAAAGGAAGCAACCCGAAGACAGCCGAGAATTGGGCCGAGGCTTCCTGACTGGCTGTTTCCCACTCTGCTAGCAAAGCCCCGTCGACGTGTCCCTGGGACTTGGAGCTGGTGGCTCCAGCCCGCGTGGGGGAGCTGCGCCTGGCGGGACTGTCCGAGCAGGACCACAAGACACAGATGGGCCGATACCGGCAGACACCGGCCTGGGAGGCCACCACACATGTCCTCACACAGCCCCAGCGCTGCAGAAGGGGCCAAGGACACCAAACTTAACACGAGGTCTGAGATCCAGTTTCCATTGGTTCATTTATTTATTCCAAGAACCAGGTATCAAGAGCTGCAGTGCACCAGGCGTTGGTCAATGCCCACAGCAACCTGGGGCCTATGCCCCGGGAGCTCGGCCAGTGACCGCAGCCCAAGGGACCAGGACGGTGCCTGTGGCATTGCAGGAAAATGTCCGAAGAGGAGAGACAGGGCCAGGTGGGAAGCCCCCAAGGCAGGTGAGCCGTGCCTGGGCGGGTGGTGGGCCGAGGGTGGGGCTGGATCCATTGAGACGTCCGCTTGGAGCGTGGAGGCAGGAGGGCTGCAGGGGGACTGGGGCGGCAGGACCGGCGGCTGGGGCGGGTGTGCGCAGGAGCAGGCAGCAGCAGGGGCTCAGCCCGCCGACTGCACGATCCAGGCCTTGGGGCCTCAGCTCCCGCCTGTGAAGGGCATGCAGACCCCCCACACAGGCCCCTCTGCCTGACACGGACACCGGCTGCAAGTCAGCGCCATCGAGCCGCAGCAGGGACTGCCACAGGCCAAGTAAACGGGAAAGAAATTAATGCTTGAGCTATTTTATACGCTGCTCTAGAAAGCAATTTTTCTTTATAAGGCCTAGCTTTTCTTTAAACATTCAATTTTTGGTCAACCATGCTTAAAGTTTAATTAGGACACAATCATCACATTTTCAAAAAAGACTAAATATTTTCTTTTGTAAGATCCACCGGCCCGTCCTCATCGCAGGGAGGGATGGGCTGCAGGACATGAGAGCGACAGAGAGCACACAAATCCCAGACACGACACCTGCCCCGTGCACGGGACACACATCATTTCCACAGCTCTGTTTCACGGACGCTCTCACGGCACGATCACCTTACAGCAAAACCCTCGTACTCAAGCCTTGAAAGAGATGTCGAGTATTTCCGTGATAAAACAGTCAATCTGATGGTTTAACACAAACATAGCTGCTTTAGAGTTTTCTAGTCTAGTCTATTGTAAATGCCATTTACATGTAAGGAAAACTAAAACCTAAGGGAAAAATCTTGATTTTTACCAAGGTAACAAAGTGGCTACTTTTGTGATTAGTTTCTAGTGTACAATTTCCCTCTTAAACTAGATGCAACTCAAATATTTTTTTAAAAAGCAACAATATGAACAGATGGTTGACATAGCAGAGCTTACCCAAAGTACAATAAAATTCAGGATGACGACCAATTCTGTCCTGTCAGAACGTGCACCCGGCACGCCAGGACAGCAGCCATGTGTGCCCCGGCGAAGCCCTGGACATCGTGGAGACAATTTTATTTTCTACCGGTTTACACAGAGAACTAACAAACTGAATGGTATTTTCTCTACAAAAACACCCTAACGAGTTTAAAAAGATAAGCTGGGGATTTTTGAGGGAAAGATACCATCCCCCAAACCTGCCAAGGGGCAGTGGGGGGAGCAAAAGGCACGTCAGCCCAAGTGCCCTGGGGCCGCAGGAGATGAGACCGGGCGTCAGGTCACCGGGCTCCCAGACAGTGACACGGGCACAGCAGTTAGGCTTCAAAGCAAAGGCCGATTTCCAAAGACACCTGCAAAGCAGCTACAACTGCCTGCTACTTCACCTCAGACAGCTGCAGCATCTAACACACACCAGGACGCCTCAGTCTGCAAGTGCGGAAGAGCCACGCTTTCCCGCTTGGCTGCGGTGTGTTTGCAAGAGGCTGGAAAAATGACCTGCGATTGACCGAATATGCAACAACCCCCACCACACAGTAATAAAGGAAAGTACATAGAAAGCTTCACTTTTCTTTTTTTTGAGGGAATTGATGACTCAGCCTCATGAATAGGACATCACACGGTTGAAACATACAACCAGCAACCGCATCTGTCACTTTTGCGTCTTTCAGAAAAAGCAGCCCATCTGCCCAGTCTCGGCGCTTAAAGCCAGAAAGGCGGCATTACCGTTGGCAGGAAGGTAGGTGAAGTGCTGGTGTTGGCTTCTCTTCCGCTTCCCGTTGCAGACGTAGAAACTGACTTGCACGGGGCTGGTGATCCTCTGATTGCGGAAAGGCGGGATCTCAACCACCAGAGAATTCTGGAATAAAATGGCGAACAGGAAGACGGCAGTTAGCGCCTTGCCAACGAGAAATGCTCTGCACTAAAGCAGTCGTGCAAACGCTCCTCTGCTGAGCATCACCTGCCAGGCTTTCCACACGGTAAACTGCCAGCTCCCAAGTGACTGCCAGGTGCAGCGATGTGTGACACACACACGCGTGAGTGGCCGGGCTTTGTCCCCTTTGTGCTCACAGGGAGACAGCTGAGCCGCTGCCTGCCTTTCTATGTGGACTGGGCATGGGAAAGAAATCCAAAAAAGGGAAACTGCGCGTGTGGGGGAGGCGTCTTCCCAAAAGCGGAGGCCATCGCTTCAGGAGACCAAAGGAAACTGGCGGGAAAACCCCCACGGCTGGTGCCATGATGGCAGTGCCTCCAGCGGCAGGAGCACCTGTCCAGGTAGCTGCAGAGAAGCAGCAGAGGGTGCCCCTGGGGACACTGTCTGCCACACTCAACAACAGCCAAGACCCCTGGGCTGATCCCAAACTCATGCCACCTGAGGGAGACCCTGGGTGGCAGGAGCAGTTGGGACACAGAGGCACAGAACAGCGCCACTTACGGTGGCCGCTGTTACCTTTCACATTTTAAAAATAAATATTGGCAACATTTTCATAAAAATCATCTCTTTTCAAATACAGAGATAAAAAAGCAAACATGGTGCCATGTGGGAAAATCATAGGCTAGGCTGGGCTGGGGATGCCCAGACCCTGTGTCCCTCTGGGACGCACAGATGCTGGGTCCTAGATAAATCCCACATGGGGGGAGGTGCAGGCGCCCTGTAGGCAGCATTCACAGCCATGAAGTTTCTTTGGTGTTTTTTTTTAATCATCTGATTTCAGTTTAACAAGTAGGAAAAATGTATAACAAAAATCCATTGTATCACTTCTTCTGTTAAAGTAATTAATTATAGCTTGTTACTTAGTTTAATAGCAAAATTGATTGAATCATGTCAATAACAGAATCTCAGGTGTTAAAAACAGAAAACTCCAGATAACTGCAGATGAGGAAACTGAGGCACAGGAGCTGCTGCTGTGCTGCTGGGGGCCACATGCCCCTGGCCCTGGACCACACGTCTGCCAGGCAGTGTGTCTGCCGTGTTGTCAACTGCACTCCGTTTGGAAGGAGCCACGAGCTCAGGCATCCTCCTGCCCATGCCCTTGCCTGCGCCAAGGACAGCGGGAGGCGCAGAGCCCTCGCACCCAGGGGGGGTGGCGAACCCACCCCCAGGGCCTCGCTCCGCTGCCCCTGCAGGCGGGTCTGACCAGGAACCTGCGTCCGACCCGAGGCACAGTCCCCACTTGCTGGTGGACATAGGAGATGCTTCCTCTGAGGCTCAGCCACAGGGGCAGGTGAAGGAGCATGAGCTTTGTGGGAGAGGGAATGAAGAGATGATGGGAAGGACACATCTTGCTGAAACCACGTCGACAGGAGCGGCTGGGACAAGGGTGGCGGGAGGCCCGGCGGGGCAGGCTCCATGCCTTGGGGTTGGCTTTCGTAAATTCCACATGACCAGAGGGTTGTGTTTTGATGTGGCCACAGCTGATTGACTTGGACTCTCGAAGTAGACAAAGTAGTAACAGGAATGCCATCTCCATGGCAGCCCTGCTACTTGAATACAGAGAAGGAAGAGATAAGAGAGACGCAGAAGAAAATGAAGTGACACAGAATCCCGTCACTTCTGGAAAGGGGGTTAACGTGGCACCAACGCACCCATGGGACTTGCCCTGAGAAAATCCACCGTCTTGATCCAGTTCCTACACCCAGTCGTGGCAGCACATAAACTGCAGACACGCCACAGCCTGTGTCGCTTAGGAAGGTGACGTCTTCGTGTGTATGCAAATGCTAACGTCAGTTATACCTCAGTAGTGAGACTACACTAGGTTTTATTGCCTTAAAATACCTTTTTATATTTTCTAAATCTCCACAATGTATATGAAGTTCCTTTATGATCAAAAATATATATTTGAAAGTAAACTTCATTTAAGAGATAAGAACAAAATGGTAAACTTAAAATACATAGTTGTTCACATGTACTATTAAGTTTCTTTTAAAACCTGCAACTGTTAACTGTTAAGCTGCCTATAAAATGTGCAATTGCTAAGAGTGAAAAAGAACATGCCTACTTGGCTGGAATCATTTTCAGTTCAGAAAGGTTCACGGCTTCTCCTGCCCTGGGGTACAGGCTGGGCAGGCGGCCGGCAGCCTGGCTCTTACGACCTCCGTCTTGCGTCCAGCACACCAGGGGACAAGCAAAGCCTCTAGGGACCCCGGAGAGAGCCACAGTCAAGGCAGGGCAGGAGCTGCCCGGCACAGACACGGCAGAGTGCACAGACCCGCCCACTGGTGGGAGAGGACCCAGCACCAACACCCACAAACCTATGGTGCTGGCTCCCTGGGCACCTCACAGCCTGGGCGCCGTGAACGCCCTGGCCAAGGGGCAGCCAGTGGTGTCTGGGACACTCCTGACAAGCCCAGAACCGCCACCTCCGCAGCCACCTGGACTCTCAGGCCAGGGCTTCATCTGGGGCTTCTCAGGCGAAGGGCGTACAATGGCCTCTCAGACGGGAGCCCGGGAGCTGCACTCTGGAGGCGGCCAGGCACTCCCGGAGGTGAGTCACCTCCCAGCACAGGCCATGCCCTGGGGCCAGGGAGGACTCCCCACCTGACAACTGTCTGTAAAGGTTCTGGTGAATGGAAAAGGCGCCCAAATCACAGGGTGAAGATGCTTCTCCCAGATAGAGCACAGGGAGGCAGGTCCAGCAGCAAACGTGAGTCAGACGCCTGAGCCCAGGGGCGCTACGTTGGCGCCACCCTCCGTGGGAGCTGCCACCTCCCTTCCACCAAGATGAGAGGCCCTTGAAGGTCTTAGCAAGACTGCGCCCCCCCATCCCCCGCTCACCTGACTCCATGCCCAGTATCTAAAGGTGGCCCAAGCAAAAACTCTTGAGTTTCTGAATAACTTCCACTTGCACATCCTGGGCACATGCAGATGGCTGCCCCTGGTGGGTGAGAACCATCCAGTAGTCCCAGCAGCGCTTGGGAACATGACAGAGCCCAGGAGAGCCCTCAATGTCTTCAAAGACCCGCCTGCCATCTGTGCTATATTTGATGTTGACCTAAAGATTCCCATTTTTCTAAGACTAACTGGAAGACTGAAAAAATATTCCATGGCAGATATTAAGACAACTCTATCAATAATCACTCTAAAGATCAATGGGCAAAATATGCCAACTCCAAGACAGAGATCGTCAGACGGAGCAAAAGCAAGACCCAAGGAGATGCTGTCTCCAAGAAACCATTTTAGACATAAAGACAGATTAAAAGTAAAAGGATGACAAAGCTACACTAAGCCACGCCAGGCACGAGAAAGTGGGAGCAGCCATAGTCATCTCAGACCAAAAACACTCTCCTTAGCAACCAATCCCAGAAACAATACCCATTGTCAGGTGCCCGCCACGTGTGAATGCACTGAGGATGCTGGGGCAGCAGGTGTGGGGCCTGGACATGCGGCCCGCGCTGGCCGCAGCTGTGACTCTGCACAGACGCGCTCACAGGCTCCTGAGGAATCAGGCAGGTGAATCTGAGAGGCACAGTTAGATCTGCCCCCACATCTATGTCAACTCGCAACGACTGGCGCTATGGATGCTGGTGAGCCCGTCTCGAGCTACACAGCCGGTTGGGTGGCCCAGACGCCCACCCAGGAGGCTCAGGCCCTGCGTGAGATACAGGAGCTCCTGCCTGGCACCCTCCCTGGGGCGACTCTGCCCGGCCGCGTGACTCAGCGCGGAGACTGCATCCTGGTCTCCCTGAAAAGCTCCTCCTGCTGGGGCAGCCGGGCCCAGCCCCGCGTCTTGTCTTCGGGGCCACTGCTCTGTCCCGGTCCTCCACCGCAACAGCACCTGCCCCACCAGGTGCTTCACAGCCGTATTTTATCCTGCCCTTTCCATTAGTTGTTTCGCTTTAGCAAATGGAGCCCCAGCCCAGGACCCCGAGGGACACTCACCGGCTTGCACAGGTCTCGGTCGGTCTTGGCTTCCATCTCCCAGACGTGGTGCCCATCTGGAAGATAGAGCAGGGGACTCCGTTACTCTGTGCAGTGGGCGCCGCCTCCCCGAAACCTCCCCATCCAGTCACCGCAGGCCCAGGGCTGCAGCAAGGGCAGCACTCTGGCCACCCTGGGGCAACGTGCCCGGGCCCGGCCCACGTGCGACGCCAAACCTGTGTTGGGGCTCAGGACGGTGTGCCAAGGCGGGAGAGTCCTCAGGAACCCACCCAGACCATGTCCCAAGCCCCTCCATGGCCTCACGCGAACCACAGGGCTCCTCGCCCCTGTATCTCCAGGACATAGGTGTCCCTGTCCAGGGCGGCTGCGCAGCGCCCGAGCCCTGGTGCCCATCACCTCCTGTCCTCCCACGCCCGCCTCCCGTGAACTCGTGCAGGAGCACACAGGTGCACCCGAGAGAACACTGTGGTGCCGCGTGGGCAAAGGCCCCTGAGCTGCTCCGAGCAGAAGTCACTGGGGTGAGAGGCCCAGCCCAGCCCTGCCTCTGCTCAGAGCTGCCGGGCAAATAAACAGCCTTTATTTGCACTTCTGGCCACATCACTGCAGAAATGCAAAACACAAGGTATTTTTAACCTTACCCAGTGGCCATTTGCATGTTTAAAAAAATGAAAAGGCTCCAGAGGAGCCGTGAAAGGGCTCATTGTTCCCGCCCGGTGTCTGTGAGTCCCTCTGCGCAGTCTCGGGACTCTCTGGGTCACTTTCCTACAGACCTCTCTTTGCCTCGCTTCCGCACCCCCAATACAGTCTGCTCCCCAAGTGGACGACGGCAGGGATCCCTGCTTGGTTTCTGCTTATGCTGCACTTCCAAAGGAGAAAACGTGTCTGTCACAAACCCCAAATTATTGATAAATTAGATGAAATCTCCTTTTTCTCCCTCATGGGGCAGGCAGCGGGTGCAGGACTGAGGCGGGGGTCGGAGGAGTTGCGCCGAGGCCCCGGCAGCCCCCAGCTAGGCAGCCGTCCACTGGCCCTGGACGCCCCAGGTCCCGGCACAAACCACCCTCCAGACGGACCCATGTGGTGATGAACGCAGACCAAGCGAAAGGTCAGCAACCCTCTCTCCGCTAGGAAAAAACAATCGGAGACTAAAAACGCGCTCAGTCTCTCTCAACAGCATTGGAGTCCTGCAGAGCAGTGAACCCCGAGCTGCGGGCTGGGGCTAAGGGCCAGGGGTGTGGGGTGTGTGTGTGTGTGTGTGTGTGTGTATGTGTGTGTGTATAACAGCCCCGCCCGCCCGGGTCACCGAGATCAGACCTGCCCCGAGCATAACTCATCTTCTGAAGCTTCTGCAGCACATGGCCCATCTTCCCCCACACGCCCAGCCTGAGGCCTTAACCCCGAGCTGCGGCTGTGTGGTCTCCACTGTGCAGGGAGGCTGTGGCCGCAGCCGGACACCCACGAGGAACCCTGCAGGATGCAGAGGGCGAGGCTGGGCCCAGCACTCAGGGAGACTGAGGCGGGGAGGGGGTGCTCGAGCTCAGAGGCTGCAGTGAGCTGGGACTGCGCACTGCACGACAGAGATGTAGCCTGTCTCTAAAGAAGGGGGCAAAGGGCAGGACCAGCCAGGGTGCTGGGGGGAAACTGAGGCGCCTGCAGGGACAGTGCATTTAACAAACCCAGAGGAGGAAACGCTATTCCTGCAGCACAGGCAGGAATGGCCTGGTCCTGTCCTGCTGTCGGGTGGGCAGGGAGGGGCCCACGCTGGTTCCAGGAGGAGCAGCTGCCCTGCGGCTGCCGAAAAAGGGACATAGGCTCGGAGCAGCATGCGGGGCCCCGTCTGTGGAGCTGCCCACGGAGACGTCCCTGACCCCAGAGGGAGCCCTGTGGGTCGCCCACTCTGCGCCTGGCCAGCCCCGCCCAGGAATGTGCAACGCTCGGCTCACACCCTCAAAACACATGTGCATCTGGTGACTTAACACAGAGCCAAGCGGACATGTTCAGACGTGGCCATTAAAAGTGTGGCATTTGGGACCCACCCACCACGACGTGTGTGTCACTTTCAGAGCCCCGGCCATCCCCGGTCTCCCCAAGGAGACTCTTCGACGGCCCGACACCGTGGGGACTTCTTGGCCTGGGGGCAGGTGCTTGGCTCTTCGCTGCCTGGGGACCACAAGCACATTCCTGCCCTTTAAACACGTGTTCCCGGGACAGGTGAGAGCGCAGACTGCAGCTGCTGGGACGAGTCAAAGGGCTGAGGCGGTGCGAGGAGGCAGCATCCACACGCGGTCAGGAGATTATAAGAGTGGTTCCTCTGTCCCGGGCGTGAGCAGCGAAAATTGGCCGCTGCCCTCACGGGCGGCCGAGGGCGCCGGCTGATCCGTGGACGGCTTTTCCCTTCTGCAAAGCGCCTGCGCCAGAGGCAGGGCAGCCTGCTGTTGTTCGAAACTCCGTCTCTGGCAGGGAGGGGACGCCCGCCCTGAAAGGGCCTTTGTGTTTCGGGCTTATCAGGAGCTGCCTGGATCCTCAGTAGGAAACTGTGCCGAGTCCAGAAATAAAATATTCCAAACCATCAGGGAACTCCCTGCAGCGTGAGTCATCGGAAAGGCTTCCCCGCCACACCCTCGAAGGTTTCCACACGGACGGCCGGTGGAGCAGCCTGCACAGGCCGGGGGCTGAGCCACTGTTTCCGTGCAGGGAGCAGCCGCGGTCCCGGGACCGGCCCTCCCCTCCCTTCCATGCTGCGTCTGTGTCCACGTCGGCGCCACTGACTGGGGACTAACACGCACTGAGTGGAGCGGCCAGATGGCCACCTGGGTCAAAGGGCAGGACTGAAATGCAGCGCACGGTCCGGAGAGTGTGCGTGCTCAGGCCGCCCACCCCGCGCCCCGGTCTGGAGCCTCGCTCGGCCTCAGCCTGTCCCTCCTCTGGGTCTGCTTGCTGGCTCCGGAGCTCGGTGTGATGTTTGTGCACAGACGTCTGGGCCGTGCCGGCTTCGGCCCGGACACTCGGGGAGAGCCCAGGGCAGCAGACACAGCCCCGTCGCCTCCACGCCGCCCCCTAGGGAGGGCAGAGCAGGGGCTGCCGTGGGGGGGCTGCACCGGGCCGCTCGAGGGCACCCGCAGGCCTGGCCGGCCAGGGGGTGTCCAGGACGTGATGCTCAGAGGCCGTCGGGCAGCTGGAGAGGGCGGGGAGCTCACAGGTCTCCGGGAGCACCTCTGTCCCCGCTCCCCGGCCCCGGCGCCGCCCTACACGGTCTCGTCCACCCCTGCAGGGGACTCTAGCGTGAGAGGAAATTATCTGGTTGCGTGGAAGTCAGCCCCGCAGGTCCTCTCATGTCGGACACGGAGCAACTCCACTCCTGGGTGTGGGCACGAGAAAGGAGCTCTCGCCCACAGGAGCACGCACGCCAGTGTGCGCACAGCTCTACGCGAGAGACTGACACACGTGCACGGCCCAGGTGACCGTTGACGGGTGAGCTGATAGCAAGGCGCAGAACGTTCCTCAGCCACGAAGAGGGACAGCTGCTGCGTGCGCCACACGCGGTGCGAGGAGGCTCCCGGGAGCCGTGTCTGCACGACGCCACCTGTGAAGAGGCTCCGAGGGCGCCCTGGCGACCAGATGGGAGAGCCCGCTGTCCCGGCGCCAGCTGACCTGCCAGGTCACAGTGGCCACAGACATGGCCGCCGGCAAGCCCAGCGAAGGAACCACCTGCTGCGTGTCGCCAGCGAATGATGCGATTGCTGCTGTAACCTGAGTTTCGGTGTGGCTGTCACGCAACCAAAGAACACAATCACGGCTCGAAAACCGCAGCTGGCTAGACCTCACTTTACCAGGGGCCCATGCTCAACTTCACACGCAGAGCCACTGACATTCAACGCAGCGAAGTACCTGCTGCTCTTGTCCGTTTCGGGCCGATCTCCGCAAGCGAGTCCGCGTCCCAGAGGGGTTCCTGGCACCTTCATCCACACCGAGCACCACGGCGTCCCTGCGCCGCGCACAGTCACTGGCACACCCGCCTCGAGACAGGCCTGCAGAGACAGCGCGGCCCCCAGCACAGGCAGACAAGCGCCAGGGCCCGCTCTGCAAACCAGATGCCACAGCCTGCGAGGTACGGGCACCCTGGGAGCCGCCGCACCAGCCTGGCTTCTCGGGGACGTTCCGCACGGACTTTCCATAGGAAACCGTCAGCGACGACGTGAGCTGTGAACCAGGGTCTCTGACAGAGGCGATTTCCACCCTCGGGCTCCCGCGCAGCGCAGGGAAGGGCCTGGGGAGAGTCACCGTCCTCTGCTGGGAGCCGGAGCCGCGCAGCGGTGCCGCCCGCACACCTGCCCCGCCCCGGCCCCCGGAGCCTCCCGCTGGGACCTGCCACGTGGTGGGAGCAGAGGGCACCATGGCCAGGGTGGCAGCTGGCTCCCACTGGGCAAAAGCAGCGAGTGAGGCGGGCAGAGAGCTGTGCCCTGGCCGTCTGGGCCGCTGCGGACGAGACAGTGGCGCCATCCTCCAGCGCCCGGACACCCCCAGCCCCCGGCAGGGTGGCCACCTTGTGAACAGCGTCCGGGTCTCTGGGCGCCGTGGACCACAGCAGCAGGGGTGGCCCAGCTGGGACGCAGAGCAAGGGGCTTCCTACGTGGCAGAGCTGGATCCGGCCACGGCGCAGAGCACCTGGCGTGGCGACGCTCACGACAGCCACGACCCTCGGCTCTCTCGGGACGGGCTGGAGCTGAAGAAGCCACGGCTGTCCTTCCTGGCGAAGGCGGTTCCAATCGCCCAACTTACTGACTTCCTCGACGAGAACACCCCACGCTCACAGCCCGCCCCGGTCCCACCTGAGCAGCGGTTTGAGAACAGGACTTTAAAGTGAGCCAGACGACCTCATCAGAAGATGAGGGGCAACTGTGTTTTCAACGTAAACTGAGTTTAGCGGTTTCTCTGAAACAACTCTAGAGAGCCTGTCACCAGGGGAGGACGTGGGGTGTTGGTCACCCTGACTTGCAGGATGCAACAGGATTTGTTGTGAGTGTGACTTCTGCCGAGGAAACCAAATGGAAAGAAAGAAAACTATGGGGACGTTTGTGCTCTTCTTTTGAAACCATATGATTTGCGTGTACATGTGTATCTGACTACGCAGATAATCTTAAGTGTCAACGATAAAATCACAGAAGCCGGCTAGGCTTGCAACCGCAGTACTCACGTGTTCACTTGCTTGCAATGCAGAGTGTACTCACTGACACAGACCCGTTTACTGCTTGCCTGCTGTATGCCCGCTGTATACGGCGAACACGTGGCTACTGCAGTTACAGACCCGGCCAGCACCTGTGACTGCATGGCTGTGTTTAAGTCGGCTGGTGGTGGGAACATGGTGAGAGAGCCGCAGAAGCAAACGGCATGAGACGAACTGGCCCTTGGACCCGTGCAGGAGCAGGGACACCCCTCCAGCCGTTGACCAAGCTTTTTGGGAGGACCAGGCCAGGGAGGAGGGCAGGACTCAGGGACCCGATGGGTGGCTATGGCACGGCCCTGGAGCACCCAATTGTGGCTCAGAGGACCTGAGTAGGCGCGAGGCCCCTCTGCTAAGCACCGGGGGAGCGGTGGGCGCAGAGGCGCTTCCTGGGCCTCTCCCGGCAGAACGAACCCAGCAGAACGAACCGCGGACGCCGAGACGTTAGCTCCGGCCCCACCCGTGAGCCAGGGCCTGGGCGCGCTGAGGCCCGGCAGCCCCGCCAGCCCCACCAGGCGGAGGGCAGGGCGCTGCACCGCCGGCTCTCCTCCAACACACACCTAAGACTCTGAAGGTCAAATCTTTCAAAATTAGTCCCCTCCAGGGACAGGAACTTAGTGATGCAAACTCCCTTCATTGTCGCTGCCCTTAGCCGGGCTCTCTACAATTCAAGACGCATTTTCCAATTATGTGCGTGATTACATGGGCAAGCCAGTTACACAGGGAGGACCTTTAAGCCCACTCTGATTGACCACTCCAGTTTCCTGCGAGCGGCACAAAATCAAGCCCCATTACGAAGGCTGAATGCCTCAGCAGCTTCCAGCGATGAGAATAAGTGCAGGGCTGGCCGCCTTCAAGAAGATTACAACTGGGGACTGCAGACAGGAAAAGGCCACAAACGCCACCTTCTGTGGGAGGGACAGGCGCTGGGAACCCAGTTCCAAAAACCAACTCCACAGGGTCTGCATGGAGAGTGGGGTCCACACGCCCCCACCTGCCCTTGCTCGGGGCCCCCCCGGATCCCCTGCGCTGCACACCTGTGCCTGCACCTGACCTGTCTGTGCTTGAAACCAATGTCAGCGAGCACAGACGCTGCCTCTCTGACCGCGCACACGGCCCCACCACCCGGACGTGGCCACCCAGACCGGGCTGTGGGTCTGCGTCTGAGCATAGCTGACCTGCAGCTACCGCCCCCACCCCCATTCACAAGCCCCCATCAACCAGCACAGCAGCCCCCATGGGGCACACAGGACCACAGACACCACAGCCCCAGGAAAACCAACATTCCTCAGGACACACCGCCTGCCCCCTCCAGAGGCCACCGGTGTGGCTCCAAGCCGGGTGGTGTGGGCACAAAGCCATGCGGAGACTGGCAGAGGAGAGGGGGGCTTGTCACCTCCCGGGGGAACCCGGGCTCTCCACGGGGCCTGCGGCGCAGAGATCACATGCAGGAGAGATCCACAGCACCTGGGCCACGGCTTCCACACAGTGGCACCCATAAGAAACACGGGGGAGCAGAAGGGCCGTGTACTTCCTCCCACCCTGCTGCTCCCTGGCTGTGCCTGGGGCAAGGACCCACAGCAAAGCCAGCAAACGCCTCTCTCGACGCCCGGCGCCCACTGCAGGCCCTGCAGCGCTGGGTGGCGTCTGCGGGAGCGGCCCGACAGCCCCAGCACACACAGACTGCAGCTGTCCCTCAGCGGCACACACGGGCACGCTGCCCACCCACGCCGAGTCCCCTGCCTCGCCCGTCCCCGGGGCCGGCACACGGGGCAGCGTGCGAGTGGAAGGCTGCGCTCGCCAGCCGAGACCCTCCCGCGGTCTGCTCTGAAGCTGTACCTGGAGCTTTCTCCACGAAGATGACCTTGGAGTCCTGCAGGAAGTTGTGGCCGGACAGGACCATCTTCTTCCCGCCGGTGACCGGGTAGCTGTCCGCGCTCTGCTTCTCCACCAGGGGCAGTTCCTGGGCCGAGCGCTGGGCTGCGCCAGAAGGAGAGCGTCAGTGAGCGGCGCCGGCCCTGCGTGCTCCGCCACCTGCGTGGCCCCCGCAGGGCCCGAGCGCCAGCCCTGGGGGACAGGCGCCACGAGAGGCTCCCCGACTTGCAGACGAGACAAGGCGAGAAGCACACCTGGCCTGGTGGTCTCCAGTGTGGGGGAGAAACAGTCACAACACACTCCTGTAAGATTTAGCCGTTTTACCCCAAACAACAGTAACTACGCACACAGGTAGAGGTAGACCTCGTGCTGGCACCCTCAGCTTACTGCTTCGTAGACACCACGCTTTTTACAAACTAAAGGTCCGTGGCAACCCTGCGTGGCCAAGTCTAGTGGCACCATTTCCAGCAGTGCGTGCTCACCTTGTGCCTGCCAGACGCTGTAGCAAGGAGCCTTTCTCAGCCAAGGTGCACATTTTTAGACATGTGACCATTGCACACGTCACTTCCACACGCTCAGGGAAACTGCAGCGGTCTGGAATCAAACCTGCAGCGTCTCAGAGGGACGCCTGCACCTGACTGTCCCCATGAGAAAAATCTAGTTCTCAATGGCGTGGGTGTGTGTACACACCATGTGCGGGAATGCGTGTGCGCGAACACACGTGTACGTACACAGATCTCCACACGAGTGAGTGTGCCCGCTCACCCAGGCTGGGCAGACTGACTATGGGCTGTCACACGCCCACACAACTCAGCATGGCAGCCCCGGAGCAGCTGTGGTCTGACGCCCATCCCAGGATCACGGAGGGCTCACCGGGCCCTGAAACCAGTGCCATTTCTCAGGCCAGATCCACGGAGGACAGAGGACACCCTGCTAAGACTGAAGATGCCAAGAGCCCGCAGCACCCCTGGTCCCCAAAGCCCTGGGCGTGTGGCCCAGTGAGGGGTGCCTGTGCCGAGCCCAGGCCCTGTCCTCGGAGCCGCTGCGGGGGTCAGAGCTATGGGGGGCAGGGGCTGGCACCCATGGAGGGCAGACTTGAGTGACGTGAGGTGGGAGGCCCCCAGCCCAGGGAGGCCGGGACACGAAGCCACTGCAAGTTCTGCATCTGGCCGGGGTGGGGTGGAGATGCCTCGGGCTGCAAGGGGGGCCCAGCGGGGGGCTGGCGAGGCTGCCCAGGGAGTGATGTCCCTCTGAGCAGCAGCAGATGCTGGAGACGGCTCCTCCTCCTCCCCTGGCCTGGAGCAGACACCAGCAGCGCTTCCCCAGGGGTCTGGATGGCTCCTCTGGACAGGTCAGGGACGCAGAGGCCTGGGAGCCCGAGTGTCTGCACACCGCTTTACCGATGGCCCAACTCACTAACAGAATCGGCAAAGTGCCCCTAGAGGAAGCGGCTCCACACTCCTGCTCCCTCATGGAAAGTGTCCGCCCAGGGCAGGGAGCGTCACTCTCACTCTGGGGACACAAATCACAGAGCCAGGACCCAGGCCAGGAAGATCGACAGTCACACTAGGTTTACAGAACCCAGATCTGCTCAGTCCAGTGGCTGCAAATGCCAAAACTACATTTCCCAAGTTGCCGGAAACGCAAGGGACTAACTCAAATGTGGTCAATACAGACATCTCAGGGTTCGGGTCACACTTTCTTTCTTCCTATTTTCTCTGACAGGTGCTATCAGTCAGGGACATTTGGAAGCTGTGGCAGGTCCCGCATCCCACCAGAGCCGGACACGGTAAGACATGAAGGTCTGTCTCGCCTTGACGAGCGAACAGATTCCTCCAGTGAATGCACATTGAAATAGCATATTTGACAGGGAAAGTTCAGCTCACAAGTCCATGCAAATAAAGGTGTGACCGAACCAGGATGCCTGACACAGATGGTTCCTGCTGTCCTGGGGGGAGCATGTGTCTACATATGACACTCGAGTGTGCCTTTACATACAGCACTTGGGTGTGCATCTCCATATAGCACTTGAGTATGTATCTCCATACAGCACTCGAGTGTGCATCTACTTATAGCACTTCAGCATGTGTCTACTTACAGCACTCGATTGGGTTTGAGGCGACTTGGAGAGACAGCGTCCTGCCGCTGGGCTGCGGGATGTGGACCCGGAAAACCAGCCTCACTCTGGTGTTCTTCCTCCCGATGTCTGTCTCTCCTTTACGAAGTTCAATGTCAGAGTTTCTGAGTTTCAGAATTCCAGCACAGTCAATGCTGCCCAAAACAAAAGCCCATGACTTTTCCATTAATTGCCAACACAGGAACCCGAAGGTCCCGCCCCGCCCACACGTATGGCCCTCACCCCAAACCCGGACCCGGACTTCTAGGTTTCATACAATTTCATCTAACTTAATAATTTCATATAATTTTATTCAAAAGTAGACTCCAGTAAAACAGTCTGTGCATAAACTCTCAACAGAATAAAAACCAGTTTTTCCTTTCTTGATAAGCTACGAGAAGAGGCGAGTACACGCTCAGGCGCCCTGACCACGCCCTTAGGTGACCCGGGACTGGCCTTTTGGCACACGCCGGTGGACCCTGGGCACACCACACGCCTGCACAGGACAAGATGGTGGCGTCTCCACCCTCTGTTGTCCAGTGAGCACAGGCCCGTCCTCTGGAACCCCTGACCACACCCGGGGCCTTGGGAAACGTGGGTGACAGCTCTCGAAACAAACCCAAGCGTTTAGGGTGAATTCAGAGAGATCCACGGGCCACTAACATGGAGAGGAAGCTTCCCTTCCGTGCTGGACCCAGGGGCTCTGACAGGTATGGACACCCACGCAAACGACCCTGCCAGCCCAGAGCAGGCCCTGCCCGTCTGCCTGGGACCTCTGCACACAGCGCTGGGGCCTCCACCGGGGACTGGCTCCACCTCCACACGTACGTCAGCTCCCAGCCCCGACGTCCCCAGAAGTTCACCACAGAGTCACGCTTGCATCTGCAAGGCGGCCCTCAGCTTCGCCCGTGGCTCTTAAGGTCAAAATGCCACCCGGATGTAGGCCCTGCTCTAATTTTTCAATGTGTGCGTTTCAGCTGTTGCTCTAACTTGTACTGCTGTGTTCAGAAGTAAAGGGTGTCACGTTTGGGAGCTGAGTGTAGGCCCCGAGGGAGGGTTCACCGCTGTGTCACTGAGGTGCTCTACATGGCAGCGTACACAGCGACTGAAACCCACAGACAAACAAGTCTGTTGTTAGAATGTTGGTGAAGGTCACCGGGTGCTGACCGGGAGCACCCTGGCAGGGCCGAGGCGGAGCGGGGCGGGGGCACGCCCACCCCAGCGCACTCACGTGGCCCGCATGTTGTTCTCCGGCAGCAGGGGGATCTCCAGGACTTTGGTGCTGCAGAGCACGGCCTCGTGGCTGGTGGTGGACACCGTCTTCCCCGTGATCCGGTGCACCTGGTAGAAGGCGTGTGGCCGCAGCAGGCGGTCGTCTGCCGTCCCGATGAACAGCTGGAGCGTGAGCGGCTCGTTCTCCAAGTAGCCGTGCAGCTGGCAGAACAGAAAGCCCGTAAGCACCAGGAGTGCGGACGGCGGGAATCAATAAACCTCCACCCGCAGACGCCAACTCAGAAAGACCGCGAGACAGGTGCTGGCACAGCCCGCCCGCCCCTTTCGTGTCTGTGTAATGTGATCTTGGTGTTTTATTGGACACGCACCTAGCGATGCCTCATTACCCCACAGGCCCCGGGGCACTGAGGTTGAGGTCTCAACACTCCTGTTGCTCACTTTCAAATGCACACACAAAACACATGTGCACACACATGCCGACCCTCATGCATGCAAATGTGTGCACACTCTCACACACGCATGCAATGTGCACATGTGCATGCACACCACACATGCCCACACTAAGGCCACCACTAGGGAAACGCACACAGACACGCCTGGCGCCCACACCACTCAGCAGGACAGCTCCCTGTGGCCTGAGCCCTCGTGTGCACCCGGCACAAAACCGCACGACTCAGGCGACTCCACAACCAGACGCAGGGTGCCAGGCACTCCCACCAGGACTGCACTGGGGGTCAGGCCCCGGGTCTGGGGCCGGCTGCTCCCAGCGTGAGGCGCTCACAGGGTCCAGAGGGCAGGGCCCGCGGCAGGCTGGGGTGGGGGGACTCGCCTTTGCCACCTCACAGGCACGCATCCCCTTCGTGACAAGCTGGCTTTAGCATGACGACACATTGGTGTTTATCTTTGACGCTACCATGTACGAAACGTCCGGCGTCCTATAGTACCGAGTTAGACAGTGGATGTCTCTGACGCTTCTTGTTTTACGTCTGCTGTGTAGGTTCATCCTCATTCCTTCAAACGCAAGGTTTGGCTTGTGATTATTCTTCTAATTTTTTTGAGAGCAATTTTTGTGAAAACACGAGTAAGCTGAAAACTTGTGTTATTTTGGAATATGAGTTTCATCATGGAACCAATTCAGTGTAGACAGCTTGAAATATCAACGAAGTGTTTGGAAATGATATGGCTAATCAATGATTTGAGAAGTTCCATTCTCGAGGTTTTAATCTTGAAAAGGAGCCACGTGGGTGACTTAAAGTTGTAGTAGAAGCGAATCCATCTCGGCCTACACGTGAATTAGCAGCATGGTTTGACGTTACTATTCCAAAAATATTGGACCATCTGAAACACATGGGCAAGGTAAAGAAGTTGGATAGGTGGTTCCACATGAATTAAACAAGGTCAGAAGAGAAATCGAATTGAAGCTTGCCTTTCTTTGTTGTCACGACATAGAAGCAAACCATTTCTACACCGTATTGTTACATGTGATGAAAGGTGGATTATTTTTGACTATCACAAGCACTCGGCACAATTGCTGAATAAAGATGAAGTGCCAAAACACAGTCCAAAACTGAATATTCATCACAAAAACCTAATGGTGTCTGTTTGGTGGTCCCGATCTTGTATTACCCACTACAGCTCCACGAAACCTGGTCAGTTGATCACAGCGGATGCCTCCTTCAACCAATGGGATGAAACGATGGGGACGCTTGTGATCAAGCAGCTGAGACTGGTCAATAGAGACAGGCCAATGCTCTTGCAAGACAACGCTGGACCATATGTCGCACAAACAAGGCTGCTCAAACTACAGAGGCTGGACCTGGAAACTCTGTCATCTGCCGTATTCACCAGACCTTGCACTACTGACTCCCACTTCTTCCAGGCTTTGGACCACTTCTTGTAAGGAAAAATATTCACTTCTCAACAAGCTGTGGAAAACACCTTTTGTGATTTCATCTCCACTCGCTCTCCAGGCTTCTTGGCTGCTGGCGTGAACAAGCTACTGTTAACATAGGAAAACTGTGTTGATAGTTTAGGCACACACTTTGATTAACTGTACTGCTCCTTGTTTGAGATGTAATAACTACAATTTTGATTCAAAATTGGACACTTCATAGTTAATGACCTAATATTTTCATGAGGCGAATTCTGTTGGGAACAAGAACATTTAATTCTAGAAGCAAGTACGCGAGCCCAGAGTGAGGCTGCCAGGTTCAAACCCTGCCTGACTCGGTTCTCCCGCCCAGAGTGCCGTGGCGTCCTCCTCCCCGCTGGGCACAGCAGTCAACCAGTCCGAGCAGCACCACCCCCATGCCCGGTACACGGCCAGCCAGACGTAAATTGTTCTTCTTGCTGCCACCTTGGTGCTCTTTTCTCACTGAACCAATTTTAAAATCTTCACAGCCGACAGCAGCTGTGGCACAAAGGCCGTCTGATGGGCCACAGCGCACCGTCCTGTGTCAGTCACAGCGCCATGGCAGCTAACGACGCAGATGCTGCGACGCCCGCGCAGAGCCAGCGTGGCCGTCACAAGTGGGAGAACCAGAGCCCGGAGCAGCTGCTGGGGGTGGGGGGAGCCCCAAGCAGAACTCACGCCAGCCCCGCCCCCGTCGGAAGGTTCGGGAATTTGGGGAGTAGACCCAGCGTCTCTGTGTCCCGCTATCCCTTCCGCAGCAGAGCAGGGTCCCGAGAGCTGATATCCGAGGGGTCCTGACCTGGCTGGCACCCGCCCCGGACATCCTGTAGTCAGCCCAGAGCGCCGGCAAGGAGCCGCGAGAGAAGTGGCGGCTCCTGCAGCGTGAGTCCCGGGGACCTGGGCGCGGTGCACGCGGTGACGTCAGAGGCCTACGCTCTGGGCTGAGACACCCATGCAGGGGCTGGACCGAGGTGGCCGCGCGGGAACATGAGGCGTGGGCAGCCGCGGGGAGGGAGCGACGCCGTCACCAGGGAAGGTCCACGGGTTCCCTAGCGCGAGAGAGAAACCGGCAAACGCAGGGAAGGGACGTCGCAGATGCTGTGTCCCTGCAGCCTCTCGGTCTCTGACCTCTGCGCTCACCCCAACTTCACGTGTTCAGAGAGGCTTCTGACTTTCATTTTAACATGCCAATTTGGAGAAAGAAAAACATGCACTTTATAAACAGGAGACAGAAAATCAGACATTGCAGTCAGCTGCTGTGGAGGTTGACCTGGCTCCGTGGACACTGGGTATACCCGGCGCAGCCGCTCACGTGTGCTTCCTGCACACTGGGGGCCACGTCCCTTGCCGGGGATTCTCACTAACTCTCCGGTGCCCAGCGCTGGCTCGCGGCCAAGGCCTGGCAGAGAGCTGACCTCAGACAGGTACAGCCTGCACCTCCCGCTCGGGCAGCCACGGCCACACGTGGAAGGGAGAGACCCGTTCTCTGCTGAGCCACAGGCCACGGTGATGGAGACGCCGACCTGCTGTCTCAGTGAGCACGGGGGCCGGGAAATGCAGGGTGGGAGGTGGAAGCACACCACCTCCGCGTGGCCGGAGGCCGCTGTCCCCGGGAAATGGAGCCGGGTGCGGGTGGCGACATCAGCAAGGCGCGGGATGTGGCCGAGGGCTGGGGCTGCGCGACCGTCTTGCTCAGAGGGGCGCCTGGAGCAGGAGTCTGTTCCCGCCACCTGCACGTCCAACACTCTGGGGGGCTTTCCTACAGACGTTGACATCCTCAACCCGACGGAGAGTGCACAACACAAACACCTGGAAAGTCGTATTTGAGACTAGAAAGTGGGGACGTGACCTGTATGACTTCGCCAGCCCAGAGAACCAGACGCCTGCTATTTGCGGTGTGTTCACATCAGCGGTCAGCCAAGAATCAAAACCTTACCGATAACAGACTCATTAACTGTTTTTACTTCATTTAACCAAAAGCCAAAGTCATTTTAAAATTTCAAGGCCTCAGAAAAGAACCCCAAACACCCGATCAATGCTGGTGTCGAGGAGAGACTGGATCGCACGGCCAAGACGGGGCTTGGTGACCCGGGGCAAGGACACGGCCTCCGCGTGGCTGACCACAAGCTTGGCCACGTCACCAGGGCGGATTCGATGAACCGTTGACGGTGCCTCCACCGCCCAGCTGTCTCCATGGCCAGCATTTCCTGCGCGGTGTCCCAAAGGTGGGTCCAGCACGCCGCACACAGCACCTGCACGAACGGACCTCCTCCAGCAGCTCTGGGCCACCAGCACGGTGCCCCGGTGGGTGTCTGGTGTCCACACCCGTCCCCGAGAGCCCTGTGTGGCACCTCAGATTACTGCCTAAAAGCCGTGTCTGTCACGAGCTGCAGAGGAGCTAACAGGCTCCGAGTCTCACCTGCAGGATTTCATGGGGACGGAGGAGGAGCTCTGTCCAGGACGAGCCTATGTAGCAGGCAGATGTAGAAATGGCCCCAATTCCCGACTATGAACACACACATGCACATGTGTGCCCACATAAACGCACCTCACACGTGTTCTAGAACACAGGATCCAAGCGGGGAGACTCTCTCTCTGAGCATGGTTTCCACATGTAGGCCCCGCCTCTGTACTTCTGTCTCTGACGTGGTCCCAGGCGCCCCCGGCCTGGCAGGCACAGGTGCTGCTCCCTGGCCACGTGTGTGCACAGCCCCACACACAGCCACCCTGCCACACGCCTCCCTCACTGCAAGGTGGCTACTGCCAATACTGCATAACTGCAGGAACACATCGCCTGTCCCTTTTGAACCGAACGTTCTTTTCCTACATGAAACGGCGTTCTCTCGGATGGGAAAACTGGAGCCACCTGTCCAGTCCACTGAGCTCGGGGGTGTGGTCCAGTCTCTCACCAAAGTGACACTTGCTAGGAAAACTCACTCCATGGTGGATGCAAATGAACACTTCTATGACGGGAATGTAAGAAGAAAGCGGCTGATTAAGAGGTGAATTTTGCCACTCGGTATTCCATATTCTGAAACTTGATACATTAAAACTTAATTTACATAAAACATGCAAATGAGTCTGACCAAAACGTTCTCTCGGGTGGCCGAGGTACCTCCCGACACCCCGAGCTCCTGCCAGGCTCAGATAATGTTTAAATGACCTGAAATCCTCCCGGGACGCTGGCGGTTCTGGCGGTGAGTGCAGTGCAGGGAATTTGGGGTATAACTACCTTTTTAAAAAATGCTATTTCAGTGAAAATGGGAATATTTAAGGTTTAACCTGGGAG